TCCACTACGGCCGGCCGAAGAAGGGACCATGGGGTGGACCTCGCGGACGGCAGCAGATCGGCTTGGCGGCGGGCACGGCCCGGAAGGGTGGGGTCAGATGGACCCGCCCACGGATCCCGCACACTGCAAGAACACGTCCGTCACAGACCCCGCCCCCGCTCTCCGCCTGACCCGGGCTACGCGACCAGCGCGAGGAGAACGGAACTTAGCGATCATGGTGGCGCTGGGGGTTGCGTTGGGGCTGTTGCTGCCCTTAGTCCTGTGGGCCCACACGCGTGCAGGTGAGGTGGCCTGGCGGGGCCCGCCCCCGCCCGTCAGCCTAGCGGGCTCCGACCTCCCGCGTGCTCGCCGGCAGGACCCCCACCCGCGGCCCCTCTCAAGGCCGGGAAGGGGTCTCCAACCCAGGCCTGGACCGCTGGTTCCGCTGGGCTATAGCCCCTGCCCTTCCGCTTCCTCCATCCCGTCCAGCGCGCAGGGCAGATGGAGAGTTGGGTTCATCTGAGTTGGGTGGCCCTCGGGGTGTTTGAATAACTGCCGGGGCGCTCGAAGGGGGTGCGGGGTGCGGGGAGAGGAAGCAAGTTATATATTTGGAAACAGGTTGCCCGGAGTCATGCAAACCATTTCAGTGCAGCCCTGTCAGTGGAACCCGAGGGAGGGGGTTTGCTTTAAGGCAGTGGTTCTCAACTTTGGCTGCACATTAGAATCACCTGGGAATCTTTTTAAAATCCTGATTTCTGGGCCTCATCCTCCGGAAATTCTTTCTTTGTTACTAATGTTGTGGCCCCACCCCATCACAAAGAAACAGAATTTCCGGAGAATGAGGCCCAGAAATCAGGATTATAAAAAGATTCCCAGGTGATTCTAATGTGCAGCCAAGGTTGAGAACCACTGCTTTAAGGCAAGGAATTTGATGTGACTAGTTGCAGTGGTGACAGGGCTGTGAAGTACAACTCCCTCGCTGGCTCAGAATATTTAAGGCTCAGCTTTGGTTTCTGGTGCAGCCAACAGATATCGGTGCGGGTATAATACGCATGGCATTGGGGAGGAGGGCGACCCCCTGACTATTGCCCAAGGCAGACCCTGTCATTTGAAGACACAAGGCTGGACACTGGGTCACAACTGTCTGCCAGTGCAAAGTGGAAGTGATAATGCTGGACCTGTTTTTTCCCCTTCAAACACTCAAATAGTGGACCACAGAGGTCCCTGTTAAGAAATGGAAGTTGCGCTGAAACCGGTTTGGCTCAGTGGGTAGAGCGTCAGCCTGTGGACTGAAAGGTCCCAGGTTCGATTCCGGTCAAGGGCATGTACCTTGGTTGTGGGCACATCCCCAGTAGGAGATGTGCAGGAGGCAGCTGATCGATGTTTCTCTCTCATCGATGTTTCTAACTCTCTATCTCTCTCCCTTCTCCCTTCCTATCTGTAAAAAAAATCAATAAAATATATTTAAAAAAATGGAAGCTGAGGTGGGAGAATGGTTGGAGTGCAGAAAAGTGACTGCTGCTCTCCCTCAGAACCCAGTAAGTACCCTGTTCAGACAAGCTGCAGCCCACGGGTGCTTTTTTCTGGGGTTTAACCGGCGTGTAAACTAACCTTTATCTCTCTCAGCCTCCCACAGTGACCTCTGAATCTAGCATATGATGTGGAAGGAAGGTGAAGAGGAGAGTAGGGCCATTATTCTATTCGCTTCCTCGGTTAGAGGCTGTTAACTTGGATATCTGTATTTTATCTTGGCCTTTAGGTCATATCCTTACATCACCTTCATTGCCACTGGCTCTTTTTTGTTGATGGATACTCTGAATTTTCCTTCTTCATTTGGTTGCACATCCTGAACTCTTTCCTTCATATCATTTCCCTGTGTTCATATTTACCATGTAATGTTTGAGATGTACAAAGATATATGTAACCGTGAAACAATATGAGCTAGGATGCTGCCAGTTTTATTGAGATTCCCTGGGTGTTCCTCACCAGAGGTAACCACTGTCCTAATTTCTTCAGTCTACTTTTTTTTTTTTTAAATTAAATCTTTATTGTTCAGATTATTACATTTGTTCCTCTTTTCCCCCCCCATAACTCCCCTCCATTTTTTACGCTTTCTTGGTACACCCCCTAGTGGTCTTTGTGCGCAGTCTTGTTGTAGTTAAGCCTTGATTGTTATAGTTAATACTAGAGGGATTTGACCTCCACGCCGACTGGCTGTGCTAATCTAGCCTTTGCCTGGGGCTATCCGGCAAATGGCTCTGTGCAGGGCTTGGGCGGGGCGGGTCCCTCGGGATCAACAGGGCGGAGGAGGGAGCAGTTATGGCTGCTCTCAGTCCGTCCCCAGGGGCTCTGCCTCTCTGTCCCAGCAACAGCTGCAAACCTTGGAGGGACCGTAGCCAGACAGTCCTGCTTCTCCCGTTTGAGTCTGGGTCCCTAGAGACTCGCCGGGATCTGGAGCTCTGAGTCTGGGGCTCCCTCCTGATTGAAACAGACAACCGCGCCCTCAGCCACCAGCCCACGCCGCACGCACTCCGCACCTTAGTATTTTACTTCAGCACTGTGCCTCCTCTGATTCTCGGTTCCTCCTAGTTGTAGAACTTCCATTCAGCCAGCCTTCCTGTGGTTCTGGATGATGTCTGTTCTGTCTTTTAGTTGTATTTTTGAAGTGGTGTTAGAGTCAGCAAACTCCGGCGTTAACCTATGCCGCCATCTTGGTTTCTCCGCTGGATTTCCAGTCTACTTTTTTTTTTTAATCCTCACCCGAGGATATTTTTTCCATTGATTTTCAGACAGAGTGGAAGGGAGGGAGGAGGAGTGGAGAGAGAGAGAGAGAGAGAGAGAGAGAGAGAGAGAAATCTATGTGAGAGAGACAAATGGATTGGCTCTGGGAATCAAACCCGAGACCCTTCAATATGTGGGCTGATGCTCTAATTACTGAGGAAAACTGGCCAGGGCTCAGTCTGCTTTTAATGATGGTCTCTCCCCCAGAATACTAATTCCTGTTTTGTTTTGTTTTTTATTGATTTCAGAGAGGAAGGGAGAGGGAGAGAGCGATAGAAACATCAATGATGAGAGAGAATTATTGATTGGCTGCCTCCTGCACACCCCCCACTGGGGATGGAGCCTGCAACCCAGGCATGTGCCCTTGACTGGAATCGAACCTGAGATCCTTTAGTCCGCAGGCCAAGGCTTTCTCCACTGAGCCAAACCAACTAGGCCATAATTCCTGTTTTTTTTTTTTTTTTTTAATCTCATATCCAAATGAAGGGAAAATTGAAAACCTAAAAAAAAAAAAAAATTTAAAACCTTAAGCCTAAGTTTCTTGTTTGACAAAAACTTCCCAGTCCTGCCTCCTTTCGTGGCCTCCTGTTTTGTTCCTTGCTCCATCCCTTTGAAGTGTTCCACTGGCCACTCAGTTTGGAATGTAAGCTTTATAAGGACAGCGAACATGACCTTTGATTTACCGCCAGTTTCGAACTGTGACTGAGTGGAAGTTGCAGTAACATTGGAATCAAGTGGCTTGGTTTCTAGTCCTGTCATAAACCACCTATGTGATTCGGGGCCAAAGAAACTTAATGTCTGCAGTGTGTTTAGCACAGTGCCTGCCACAAGTAAGCGAATTCATAGAATGTAAGCTCCCTGCTGGCAAGGATTATGTCTCCCCCCGCCCCCCTTATACTCTCCATGCTTAAATGGTGCCTAGCACATAGTAGGCATCAATAAATATTTGTTGAGTTAAAAGATTAATATGCAAGCTATATTTTTAAATTACCTAATCTACTTCAGTCTCAGTCTGTTGGTCAGTAAATACCATGATTATAAACTCTGGGTGTGAACGATCTTTCTACCTCTAAAATTCTTTTTATTTTTATTGATTTCAGAGAGGAAGGGAGAGGGAGAGAGAGATAGAAACATCAATAATGAGAAAGAATCATTGATCGGCTGTCATCTGCACGCCCCCCCAACTGGGGATTGAGTTCTCTATCCGGGCATGTGCCCTGGCTGGGAATCGAACTGTGACCTCCTGGTTCATAGGTCGTTGCTCAACCACTGAG